GTTCTTTCGGGCGATCGCGCGCCAGAGATCCACTGGTACCCAACAACGCCCGTTAAGTTTTTCGAAAAGACTTACAATAGAATTTTTCGTCGCATAGCACCATGTCGAAAAGCGACGCGACGCGACGACGTGTCGCGACGCGCCCAGGTCGCCGGAAGTCAGCCGCGGTTTTACAAAAATAACAACAGTGGTAGCGTGTTTCGCGTCGTCTCGCATCTGAGACCCACGCGCTGCAATCGATAACTCTGTTTCTCGACTCGTTGAATACCACTGGAAGGCTAGTGTTAATCAGCCGCGGTCTCGCAAATCGGCGCCGTGACGGCGCCTACCTTGCTATCACGAAAGAACCATCTGAAAAAACGTGAACAATTCATACTCTTGAAAGACATCAATATAGAAATCTGATTTTCTTTTTTTTCGCCAGAACGATCCAGAAACGGATCTTTCCTCGCCTTGTACGTCTTAGGGTTACGAATGCTTTAACGTTATTCTCATATTTATTATTACTTTTTTTGATCAGAGTATCCTAAAACGAACAAATTTTTTTTTCTATTCAATATGTCTACATTTAACATGGATATACCGGTAATTCTTTTTAAATCTGTTTTCAAAGTATTGTGGTGGCCCGCGATGTTCGATCAAGTATATTTTGTAGCGATCACGTAACAATCGATCGATTACATAGTTTCGTTGATTTTCCTCGAGATAAAATAAAAAATTATACCGCGTGCTCCTTCGCACCGACACGGCGTTAGAAAAACGAAAGATCGTCACAAATGTCCTCCGAGCGAAAAAAGAGACCATCGGAAATATTTCTGTAAAATATCGTTTTTCCTTCCTTGTAAGGAAACAGCGATACGACAATCGTTGGCCACACGAGCAAAACAGCCTGTGTACACTTATTAAACTTAACTTCTTTACGTAATGTTGAAAGATAATGTAAGAGATTTGCCTAGCTTAATGATTTACGTAATTATATACATTATGTACATGTCGCTGCCTATAACATTGCATGCGTGCGCTTATATCGTTAGAGGTGACTACAGAGCGGTGTATGTGATTGTGTACGAGTGTTTCTTTCTTTTATTATAATGAAAATTGTCTAGCTTATACAGTACATAGGGTTTTCGCGAGCGTTACTATATAAGATTTATCCCGTTACACACAGTAAACAATTATACACTCCGATGATCCGCCGGCCAAATGTGTTCGCTATTGTTCTTCCCTTTTTTTTCCCCTTGTGTCGGCTTTATCAAATTGGTGCATTCAAAATAAATCAAAATGTGCGCTTGCGAAATGAAAACGAAAATAACCGACAAACTTGAAATTAACGATAACGATAAATACGTATCTGAACTTAAAGAAAAGAAAAATTATAATTATTCTCAGGAAGCTTAGAAAACGGAACGTTCGGAAACTCTGCCATGGCACAAGAAACGCAAGTTTCCAAATCAGATACATTGCCTCGCAACATTGAAACTCAAAAACGCGCGTAAACAATTTATATAAAATAAACATATAAAAATAACGATTTTTTTTCTTATGGATTCCATCGACTGTCTCCTTGAATAGCAATACATTTAGTCATTTTTATCACAGGATCTTTATCTTAATATCGATAATTCACTAAAGTCTCGAGCAGAGATAGAATATTATTTTA